TTTATCTTTTGGAACTTGTAGTTTAAACCCTTCTCATGTACACCATCTGCAGTTTCCCAGAACTGCGTCCGTATGGCTTACCTTAAGCACACATCCAAAAAGGAAGCCAACCTAAGGATAGGCTTTGGGGTCTGTATCCTTAGGTCCATAGGGCAAACCATAAGCACACAACAAAGGAAGCCAACCTAATGGAGCATCTTGGGCCCATGAGCCTACCCAAGAATCACATTAGGCTCGTAATCATATTTATCATAACTCAGTGAAAACCAATAATCATATATCAACCATAATCCATAAACCATCACCAGTAAGTTGGTGTATCAATAAACAGTAAACCATAGATTTCAATGTACCATATTTCAAAACAGATAAAACAATTATGTAGTACATAGGGAACACACTAGAGAATCCAAGTATTTTTCAGAGGCATTTTGTAGTTATCAATATGGATAACATGAAACTTGTGAAATTTGATCGGATTCCAGGAGCAAGAACTTATTGAAGAGAATCGATTTTTAACCAATCTAATCAGACATTTCAGATTGATACTTTAGAATTCCACTATGTTTCCATGTGTATCAGGAAAATGTTCAGGAACCTTTATACATAATAATTCTAGATTCAGATTTACTGCGAGTGATTCCATTACCCAAACAATCAAGGGTATTTAGAAATATACTTAAATTCATAGGATCTCGGCTCAATTAAACCAAATAGGGTATTCATAATCTTTTCCTTCTGCGTTATATGTGTGTTCAGACATGACCGAAGTGATTTAATATAAAAATGTAGAAACGAAGATTCAAGACATTTACAATCCATGTTGATCGATCGACTTATCGAACAATTCGAACTGAACAACTCTCATAACTAATGCATGTCGACCCGTCAATTTACTACCTTTCCAGAGTATTTACTCTTTAATACTAACAATTCTTGTCCATAAAACATCTTCGTAATCGGCTCTAAATAGATCTTCCAATAGTTTTTATTTCATTTCCACGTTTCAACGATATCAGGAAATACGAACGTACTTGATTCATGGTTCATGACCCATAAAAACAATTCATCATGTAAGTTCAACAGTGTTTCCAACTCATCCAATCACTTATTTAATCCTCAATCATTGAGGTTACTTAGTTCATTTAGTAATCAAGTCTATCCCGGTCACTTCAGAGTTTTCCATAGTAATTCAGACGTTTTTGAATTTCAGATACATATTGTACTTCCTTTTATTTCAATTTAGTCGTATAATAAAGTCATTATGGTATTCTTGGTTGATTTATGTCACGAATATCCACTTCTTAGTACCGAATGTGCTCTAGAGTTGAGCTGAGCCAAGTACTTCCAGAATTATCATCGATCCAAGCTTGAGAAGACGAACACGTATTCTAGTGATATCTATGTCATTCAGGTACTAACATAGCATTAGGGTTGATCAACTCACTTAAATTGTGTTCCATTACCTTTAAGGGTAGTACAACACCTATGTTTATTTGGATTTCTTATTTAATCCAAAACATTTACTTAGTTTAGTCTATAAGGGCATTTTGGTCATTTTGGTGCTCAATGTTTTTCTATTCATTTCAAAGCTTGAGTATATCCATTTATTCCTGAGCTTGGTGACATTCTTGAGTCATTTCCATTCTAGGGGTATTTTGGTCGTTTTACAGATCCAATGTATTTCAATCATTTCCTTCCGTCCGATCTTATTATCGAATTCAAACTTATCACTTATTTCAGTCATTTCGAACAATTCTGTCAAAAGAACACCCCCGATAATTGTTCTTCAGGTTTTTACTCGTAACTTGGATATTTTCGGGTCAAGTGCCTTCTCAGATTTTACAAACGAAATATCATGAATTTTTCTGTACAAAGACAGGATCTTAACAATTAAATCCATACTTAATCGAGTTAAGTACGAATCCTTAAAGTACTTTCTCATCAGGGTCAACTAGGATTATTTTACCTCTCAATGGTATTTTCGTAATTTCTTAAAGAACACCCCCGAACATTCTCTTATCTTGAAACGATTCCCTTAACAGGCTCTTAGATTTTTGCTCAAATCCTCTTTGGTTAAAAACCAGTTATCTATATTTTCTAAGCAAAACTAGCATTTCTTATGCACATCAGTAGTTTCATCAGATCAATATGTCTTTAAAACCTCTTATCCAACTTCCATAGTCAAATCTTATCTTTTTATAACATAAGGGTATTTTCGTAATTTTACCCTATCAGGGTATTCTCATAATTTCTCATCCAAGTACCTTTAACATTTAACCTTTGATTAAATAAATTATAAGTTACAGATCCAGGTTAATTTCTTTATCACTGAGCACATAACTTGTAATTTAATTCTAACAATCCTTCAATCTCTTATTTTAGTCATTCGATCCGTATTCAGTTACTGAATTTCTACCGCATTCATAACGAGTGTATAAATTAATCAACTCCACAAAAGTGACCAACATTATCTTATTCATGTATTTATCAATAACAACATATTTCATAAAGCATAAAGAGGTAGTAAAGTATTACCTCGATTTTTGTGCCATATTGATCGACCATAAAAATTTGTTCGAATGCCCTCAATCTTGAAATCATCTTCCAATAATTCCTCAGATACATATCAGCAGAAATTACATAAAAACATAGCTTAATTCCGAAAAACGGATCGAATCGGGTGATAAATCAGTCAAAAACAGCTTATCGGGTTCGAGTTTGGCGAAACGGACCCCAAAAATAGATTTAGGACGTCTAAAACATAAAATATGACTTTTCGAAAATTTTAACTTTTCGGTCAAAGTCAACGGGTTTGACTGCAATTTCGAGGCCTTCGGGTCCGAATTTCGAAAAACAGACTGCGGAATCGGACTCAAAACGTCGAAAAACGTCAAGATAGGTATACCCGGTCAAAGTCAAAGTCAAAGGTCGTTAAATACTCGGTCAATGCCGGTCAAAGTTCTGGTCAACAGTGTTCAACGTCGATTAACAGTCAACGCTGGTCAACGGTCAACAGTTGACCATTTTACACAAATATCACCCTAATAGAAGTTAATTACAAAATTATCCACCTTATGCAAATATTTACAAAATTAACATCCAAATTTTACACAAATAGCACCCAAACAGAAACTAATTACAAAATTAACACCCTACAGCCAAACGATGCCCACTCTCGGGGGTGGAGTGTGGGGTGCATGAATAGTAACACGGTGTCGGAAAATTCCCGGAAAAATTTCTAAAAATTATTTTAAGGCATTTTGAGACATTTACCAAGCTCGGTTCACAATTTTGAACGGTAGAGAGCTCGATTCCGAAACATCAAAAACTTTGACTTTCTCACCCCTCCACGTGTCGACGACGACGGAGAAACGGATGACACCGTCGAACTCGGAACAATGCAAGGAACACGATGGTGCGGGAGGTGTCGAAAACGGATGGTCGGATCGTCATGAATCGACGAAAAACCAACTGAAATCAAGTTAAAACCGACGATACTTCCATCTGAAATTAATGACAAACGACGACGATTCATAACGAAAGGTTTGAAAGGTTTTGTTCTTCGGTCAACAACGAACATGATGGTGGTTTCGGTTCGTCGATCGGAGGTCGGACGGTGAGTAGATCGGAGTTGAAAGTGGGTTGACCAAAGGAGGAAAATGGGAAACATTTCTGGAACACGACAAATGGGTTTATAATTCATCCCATAAAAAATGGGTAAACCATGAGTTTAGTCACTGAACTTCCTGCACTTCTTAAAATGGTATGCCAACTTTACGATTTTACAATTTAATCCTCAATTTTCTTCCAAAATACCAAATTAAATCCAATACTTTATAATTTCTAAAATTTAGCCCCTAAATTGGGGTGTTACATTGTTACTTTTAATAGCCGAATGACTCAACAAAACAACTTCTTATAATCGAGGGACCATTTTATAACTTTTAATAGCCAAGGACTCACCAAAGTAGTATCCTATAGTTAGGGGACCATTTGTTTATTTAAGGTGTGAGTATGTGTTAATTGTAACACTTTACACCGGTGTAAGTATGTGACCTTATCTTGTTGCTCCATCATAAAAAGCTGACTGATTATCGATAAATTATTGACTACAACTTTCCACCAAAATTAAAAGAGATGTATTGTCATCAACTGACATAATCACCCATGTTATATCAACAATTTCAAACATTACTTAATTTGTTGGGGTTTTTTTTCTTCATTTTATTTATAGAGATCATATTTTAGTGTATTGTTGATAGTAAGTCTTATATATTTCGGTAAATCATAAAATGTCACTTTATCAATCAATAAATAAAAAGTTTCATGGAAGATTTATAAATAAATATTGATAAATATATTTAGGGAAATTTTATACACAGTCTATTAGTTAAGACTTAGAGTTTAAGATTTAAGATTTATATTTCAAATAATTATGATTATATAAATTTTAATTTATATAATTTACATAAAAAATTACTCGTGTATTTAAAATTAATTATGACAATTGTCCGAATCTCATTTATCCTCTTATCTGATATCATAATAGAAAGCTCCTTGAATTAAAGTTGTCTAAAATCATGGAAATAGACATTATACCAAACATAGCAGCACAAGAGGTGATATTCGTTCCTTCATTGTTTATATTCTTCATTTGGATTTTTCTATATATCCCGTTTGTTGTTAGTTTTGATTATTTCAAAACATAAACTACATGGATGCAAAAGAAAAAAGGAACAAGTTAAAAAACAGAAAGAAAAGGTATTTGCAGCATTAATTAGCAAAGGAGTTGACTCATCAAAAAAACAACTTTGTACCTGTTCAGATTATGGAACAAGAGATAATATTCGCAAACAAGCAACTTTGTAGATTATAGCAGGGAGTCGGGGACTACTATTATCAAATGTACCTGTTCAGTTCAGTTCAGTGTTCAACACTCAAACAAGCAATATTCACAAGCAACTACATTTACAAAACCAGAATGCAGAGAACTTCAATCACAACCGATATTCTTCGCCTGTCGAGTCCAAGAAAAAACGAATCTGGCATTCTGTTGAGGCCCTAGGGCAGTTCAACATGTTTCTAATATGGCTGCGTCGTTTCTTCAACATCGAGGAAGTCCTGATCTTCACTTCCTCCAAGAATTTGGCGTTCTTCAGCATATATTGAATGAATGTCCAGTTACAGTTTTGATTGATGAATCCCGTCAGTTTAAGGGCCTTCAAACTCGCAGACACACACACCGGAACAGTCTTCGAAAATGACTTATCACAGTTGTGACCCCTGTGGAGTATTGGTACTTCAATGTGATATACCAAGGTCTTGAGATTGTTTGAGCCGTGAAGCAACTCTTCCAGATCATCCCAATTTGCACAGCTTGTTGTAGTTTCCAGGCATACCAGATTATGGAACTCATGAAACGCCATACCATCTAAGGCATATTCTGATAAAGACAGAAATTCAAGATTAGCGAACGCTTCAATGGGCTCACATGTTACATGGATATCTATGATTGCTTCCACCAAGCTGGAAGAATCAATCTGAAAATTCAAAACATTAAAATTCAAAACATTCTGCGACAGCTCTATCCTTTCCAAGAGCGGAGCGCTGATCAGTAAACCGTGATCATTAGCTTCATAATTCTTCAGATTCAGTCTCTTCAATGAAGCAACATTGATGACCATATCAAGAATCCCATCATCCAAAATCCTCTCAACAACCAAGTCCTCAAGAACTGGACAACCAGAAAGTAGGATGTTGAAAGACCCTTCATTTGCGTAGTGTAATCGCTCCAGTTGCAGAGTCCTTAGATTTTGTAAACAAACATTTTCACGAAGATCAATGAAAATATTATCAATCAGCTTGAGAGATACGAGTGTTCTGCAAGCAAATAAACGACCAGGCAGTCTAACCGTTGGTACATGTGAAAATTTGAGGCTGAGTTTCAGCTCTTGAACATTCCTTTCAACTGCAGCAGCAACCCATTTACCAAGATGCTCTTCATCCACTTCCAAGAAAGGTTTAAAGTCTATGATAAACTGGTACACATTTTGAGCTTGACAGTTGGTTAAAAAATTACCTATAGAATCCACAAAGCTGCCCAATGTACCAATGAATTCAGCTGAACTGAAGGAGAGGACGGGAACAGCAGTCCATAAATGCTTCCATCGCTATGACAAGGTACTGGTGGCAACTGACAATTTGGTGGGGAGAAAGGAAAGGATGTGGCAAATAATGGAGTCTGGTAGGTTGCTAAGTTGATCAATGTGTTTTTGACCCTTTTCCATATCTTTTTCCTTTTCCTTTTCCACGCTCCTTTTCTTGGATAATCTTTGAACCAAATCAGCCATATGTGAGTGAAGACTCTGCTTAACCTATGAACAAAAATTTAAAGACTCTGGTTAACCTATGAACAACAATTTAAAGAGACCATTTCAGAGATTCTTGGAATATTATCTTGCTCACCCGTTTACTAAGATCAATGGCAAAAACTCCGTATTCTTGGAATATTATCTTGCCAGCGTTTTTGCATGAAAGAAGCCTTGTGACCGGCGTTGGCAGTTCCGGGGCGGTGTTCCACTGGTCCTTGAACGGAGATTCAACGGCTGCCCGAGAAAGAAACGAGAATGGTAATGGGGATCAGATATTCAGATGGGAGAGCGGGAACAGTTATGGGAGATTGGAGAAGAAGCAGTTTGATTCTTGATTCCATATTATCCTGGGCCTACCTTATACCATGGCCCACCCCATATATTTTTTTGTGTGTGTTTATATATCGTATGGACTAAATTAAAAGGCTTGATAAAGTAAAAATCTCTCAATCATCCCATTAAAAAACATCAGAGGGAGGTACTACATTGATGGACTAAATGAAACTTTAGGTGATATTTTTACAAGGAATTGGAAGTGGAGGAATTATATTAAAAAAACTTGACAAATTATAGGTACCAAATCTGTTATTTTCTCGCTGGAAACAACAAATGGAATGTGGGAAATGAAGTTAGAGGGAAATTCAAATATTTGATAAAGTACAGGGTTCGGTTCTGTAATATTTAAACACTCAATTGTCGAAGAAATGATATTTGGACCAAAACAACTAGTTGGTAGTCGAATCGAGATGTAGATAATTTATTTCTTAAAAATGAATGAATAAGAGAATTATACAAATACACATTAATAATTAAACTAATAATCAAAATGTATCTGAACAACACTCACATATAATAAATTTAAAATTAAGATAAAATCTTCAATGAAAATTCACACATGATATATATTTATATATACATATTAAAACTTAAATAAGTGTTAACCTCCCATAAGCCAATGCCTTATTCTCATTATGTTTACAAATAAATTCATCTTTTTAAAATTTGTTTGTTGAAAAAGTTTCTTTTTGATTAAATATATACTTAACTTTATTATTTATACATATCTAAATTTTTTGGTACATACAGTTAGGTATTGATGTGTGTACCGACAAGTGTAAGCTTCAATTATCGCTTCAAGTAATAAAGTGGATACACTCTCGTGTGTGAGGTATCGATCTCACATAAAATAGTGTGGTTAACAAATCCATCAAGATAAATTAATTGAATGGATAAACACTCTAAGTAGATAAGAAATGTGATAGAAGGCTTGTTGAGTTAATCGATCTCTGAATTCAAGTAAGCATCTCGTTAATGGTGTTATAAATGTCAATAAGTGATTATCTCATCGGTTTTGATATAAATTTAGTTGACGATTGTATATACTATAAGATCAATAAGAGTAAACCAACTTATATCTTTGTTGTCAAAAGAGTTTCAATGAGGAGTTTAATAAATGCTTACGTATTATACAAATAGTTCCCTTTATTTTCTGTGTGACTGATTTTGGTCATTGATTTAAAAGTTAAGTGCGTTTGATCTCTTACGTTATTGATCCGTTTGATTTTAGTCTCTTAATCATTAACTCCCATTTAACTCGTTTATGGAAACCTGAGTTGACAACTAAAAAGTAAAAGATAATTCATGTGTCTTCTTCTTTTTCCTCCCACCAACGAATCGATCACTGAAAAAGCATGCAAACACGAATTCCCACCATGGGAAAGCATGGTGCTGAATATTATGCATTATCCATTGGGAAAGTATAGTGTTTAATATTATGTATTATCCATGGTGCTAGATATTATGATTATCCATGCAAATACGAATTCCCAACATGGGAAAGCATGCAGCCACTTGCTAGGTATTTTTTCAAGCATTTGCATGCCTAAGCAATTAACACTTATCTAAATTCCTAAGCCTAAAGAACAACTGTGTCGTAGCTGTTGAGACAGCTTTTCATGTGTCATGATCGAGTATTACTAACCCACAAAATTAAACATCACTATTTGTCATCTCATACACTTCCTTGGTTGTTCTATCTCTTATCATTGTAGTTTGTTTTTTGTTTACTATAAACCTAAAGCTTCCAGATACTTAGAATGTTCTGACAGCTCTAAACGATAATTTCCCCCCCTCACATGCTCTTACAATTCAATAAGGGATGTAGTTTAGACGATAGTAATTAGTAATTACCCCACATCTCCATTTAGCCGTAGTTTCCTACTTGAAAATAAGGATGAACTTGAGCTTAAAATTAGTCATAAAATGAACAAAATGGTTAATAAGTTTGAGCTTGCCTCAATATTTGTAAACAACATCTCCACTCGATAACTATCTTTGTTGTCCATGCCTTCATCACATATGAATCATTAACTGCAACATCACATATTCCTCTGACTTTTCAATAAAACCTAGAACATGCTTTAAGCTGCATGGAATTGAGAAAACAAGGACAATAATGGGAGTTTAGAACCCATTTGCAAAATTTCCTATAATATATAATTCTATACGTGGTTTACCTGCATCCGGAAGATGAAGCACCGAGAACTCCAACGAGAATGACTTGTTTACCGGCAGTAAGGGAGTATAGGGACACGTTTTCAAGAAGAAGAAGAAGCGTGTATTTTTTAAAAATTTTTAAATTATCACATAACACTTTCGTTAAAGGGTTAACGACTGAAGGATTAAAATCGAACGAACTGATAATGTAAGGGACTAAAATCACTCTTTTTTTTAAACCAATGAACCAAAATTATTCTTTTTTAACCGATAACCAAAATCAATTAGATCGAAAACATAAGGGACCATGTATATATTTTACTCATTAAAAAAACAATAAGAGAAGGTGCGGTGAATCAAAAACCAGAGGCTCTCACATGCAAAACAATCACTCTATATACTATATCAACTACGCACCCATGATATCTTTTAGGGAAAACTACTTGAATGTCCACCTAAATATGAGGTTAGTGTCGATATGACCATCATTTTCAAAATTTTATCAACATGACCATTTAACTCTTTAATTGGTTTCAAATAAGTCATACCATATGAGCTACACACCCATGATATCTTTTAGGGTAAACTACTTGAATGCCCACCTAACTATGAGGTTAGTGTCGATATGACCACAATTTTCAAAAATTTATCAATATGACCACTTAACTGTTTGTCACGACCGTCTTTCGGGTTGGGTTGTACCTAACAAAAACAAAGGAAAAATATTAATTTGTTAAAATAATAATAGTAATATATATATTAAGGTACTATATAATATATATGCATGCTATACTATAAATTTACAATATAAATATACTATAAGATATACGAATATACAAACCCGGACAAAAAAAATGTGTCTACATCTGCCCTTCTTTGCCCATAGCGTGTAACGGGAATATGGAAAAGAGTAAAAGAAACACTTTTCATCCAATATAAAGGTATCACCGAATTTAACATCATCTATTATGGGAGTCGATTCCCATCTTATAGAGTATCATCTGTCGTAGAGTTGAAATTTGATGTCATGATTGATAGTAAATTTGGACTGAATTACGGACGACTCCCTCACCGTGAGGTTGAATTGAACTGGAAAATCCTGAGCACGATATCCTTCGTCATGAAGTTGAAACGAGATCAAAGCATTGGAAAGTCACTCATGGGTCATCTTCTAGCCCAATATACTTCATTGTGAAGCTGAAATTTGACCTGAAGACTTTGGTATGAAACTGGTTTTTCATTGTTGTGTTATAGATGACTCATTCTTCGTGAATTTGGGTCAATCTTTTAGGTACGATATCCTTCATTGTGAAGTCGAAATCCTAGGTGGCTCATTCGTTGTGAAGTTGAGCTTTGAATTGGATGTCCTTCGTTGTGAAGTTGAAATCCAATCTTGTAAATTGAATCGCTTTGAGATTAATATATGAAGTTGAAATTGTGGATGTCTCATTCGCTGTGAAGTTGAGCTTTGAATTTGATGTCTTACGTTGTGAAGTTGAAATCCACTCTTGTGAATTGTATCGCTTTCGAGTTCAATATTTTTCGCTGTGAAGTTGAAATTGACTCTAACAAGAATAATCTACAAAAATTATGCATATATGCTATGCTATGGATGCAATGTTTTTATGTGTGCCTAAAATGCATATGTGAAATATGCTATTTTAGGATTTGGGGGGAAATCTTCAATCTCTGGTTGTCAGTCCTGATGACTCTTGATTATGGAATCTTGAATTCTGATCTTGATCTTGTATTTTTCACCATGTTTAAACTCGATGTATAGAAAAATGTCTTTTAGTCATCTCAAGTATAGTGCATAAGCCCTGATCGGCTTCCGAATATCTGTACCTTTCAGGAAAATCTTTGTACAATAATACCCAATTATCTTTTCAAGAGTGAATAAATCATTAAGTTTAAATTCAACACAAGATTATTAAAAGGAATTGACTTACAGAAATGATCATATTTATTTATAAAGAAAAATGAACAAATTATATGACAAACATTTTAGGGAAAAATATATAAGTAGATGCCTTAGATCACAATAATGCGGGCGCTTTTGAACTGATACGTTGTTAGACGACTTTTGAGTACAACCTTTGCAAATGGGACTTTGAAAATGCGACAATGTTTAGAAGTGCCACATTTCCCTGAATCGTTAAGTCTGCAGAAGATTTGGATGTCATGACGCAAAACCTTTCCTGAATCCTTATCCAAATTGCCCTTTCGGGTTTTCAACTTGGATCCATCCTTGGTCTCAAGGCGTCCTTTGCAGGTTTTTATCTTGGACCCACCTTTTTTTAATTTAAGGCGCCCTTTCGGGTTTTCACCTTAAATGTTTTTTTCAAATTAGAGCGCCCTTTCGGGTTTTCACCCTAAGTGAAATATTTTTTTACTGCATCCGAATTAACAGGATTTGGTAATTATGGCCCGTCCATTTCAGTCAGAATCAGTGCTCCTCTGGAGAAAGCTTTCTTTATAACATAAGGTCATTCCCAATTTGACATCCATTTTCCTCTGAAATCTTTTTGAATTTGCCAAATTCTCTTTAGTACAAGATCCCCTTCATGGAATACCCTTGGACGCACTTTTTTATTATGTGCTCGAATCATTCGTTTTTGGTAGAGTTGACCATGGTGAATGGTTTTCAACCTTTTTTCCTCTATTAGGTTCAACTGATCATATCGACTTTGGATCCATTATGCATAATCTAGTTTAACTTCTGATAGGACTCGGAGTGATGTAATCTCTACCTCAATAGGAGTATTGCTTCCATCCCATATGCTAATGAGAACGGGGTTGCCCCAGTCGAAGTTCGTACCTAGGTTCGGTAAGCAAAAAGAGCAAAAGGTAATTTCTCGTGTCAATCCTTGTATATCTTAGTTGTTTTCTCCACTATCTTCTTGATGTTTTTGTTTGCTGCTTCTACCGCTTCATTCATCTTTGGTCTATAAACAGTAGAATTATGATGTTTTATATTAAATTGTTCACACGCAACGTTCATCATCTTACTGTTCAGGTTCGTGGCAGTATCGGTAATGATTCTTTCAGGTAAACCATACCGACATGTGATTTCTTTCTTCAGAAACTTACAAACAATGGAATGAGTAACACTATCATAAGATGTGCCTCTACCCATTTTGTGAAATAGTCAATTGCCACAAGAATGAAACGATGGCCATTTGAAGCCTTCGGATGAAATTTCCTGATAACATCCATGCCCCACATAGAGAATGGCCATGGTGCAGTCATCACATGAAGAGGTTGAGGTGGAACATTGATTTTATCCCCATAAATTTGACATTTAGACATCTTCTAGCATAATTGATGCAGTCGCTTTCCAATGTGGACCAGAAATATATACATCTCATAATTTGCCTTGACATCATATGTCATTCGCATGCATTCCGCAAACTCTATTATGTACCTCTTATAGTATCATTTTTGCTTCTTTTGCATCTACACATATCAACAAGATATGATCATGGCTTTTCTTGTACAAGACTTCTCCATCAATAACATATCCAACCACCACCATTATAATAGTTATTTTATCGGTTTCGATGGCTTCTTCTAGATAACTTCAGTTTTTGATATATTGTAGAATGTTATGATACTAGGGCTTAATGTCTTTTACTTCTTCGGTTTGGTAACAATGAGTCCGGTACTCATACGACTGCATATCAATTGGCATCATATCAGACTCACCGCCAACCTTGAATGCGACTGCCAAAGTAGCTAAAGCATCGACCATTTGGTTTTCTTCTCTTGGTACGTAATGGAAAGAGACTTCGTCAAATTCTTCGAGTATATCCAATATTAGCTTTCCACCAGCTTTACATCATTCGTTTCTCATTCTCTGCAGAGCTGATAGATCACTAAAGTCGAATCTCTATATACCCGTAAGGTCTTTATATTTTGTCCAATAGTAGCTCGATTCCCCAAAACACAAGTCATACTCTGCCATGTTGTTAGTGCAATCAAAATTCAGTCTGCTAATGAATGGGTAATGATTTCCTTCAGGGGAGATTAATATTACCCCAATGTCATGTCCTAATGCATTTGATGCTCCATCAAAATGCATTTTCCAAGAATCACATGTGGAAGTACTTGCTTCTTCTAAGGATATGGCCATCAAGTCTTCGTCTGGGAAGTCAAAGTCCAACGGCTTGTAATTTTCAGCAGTTTTGTTTGCCAAGAAATCCGATATGGTACTTCTCTTTATAGATTTTTGGCTCACGTACTCGATGTCAAATTCAGACAACAATATCTGCCATTGAGCTAACCTTCCAGAGAGAGCAGGTACACCCATCAATACTTTAGTGAATCTAACTTCGAAATCAACCAAGTGGTGTGGTACAACATGTATTGTCTAAGTCTACGTGTAGCCCAGACTAAAGCACATCAAACTTTTTCGATAGGAGGATATCTGACCTCGCAATCAGTGAACTTTTTACTCAGGTGACCCTTTCTTTTCTCCCAGATTCATCATGCTGACCCATAACACACCTCATTGAATTCTTAAATATGGATAAATACAAGAAAAGAGGTTGCCCTAGATGTGAGACATTAAGATAGGGATACGAGATAAGTATTCTTTTATCTTCTCGAATGCAGTCTGGCAATCCTCATCCCATGTTCCAGAATTTTCTTTCGAAGAAGGCAGAAAATTGGGTCGCACTTGTCGGTCAATTGAGATATAAATTGCGCTATATAATTTAACCTACCCAAAAAACCTCGAACCTCTTTCTGTTCTTGTGTGGGAGGTAAATTTTGGATGGCTTTAACTTTATCTGGATCGACTTTGATACCTATCATGCTGACAACGAAGCCTAATATCTTTCCAGATGTTACCCTGAAGGTACATTTGTTGGGGTTCAGTTTCAGCTGGAACTTTCTTAATATTTGAAGGCGTTTTCTCATATTCTCGGCATGTTCATCTTCGGTTTGTGCTTTGACAATCATGTCATCGACATAAACCTCAATTTCTTTGTGCATCATGTCATGAAACAAGGTTACCATGGCTATTTGATATGTTGCCCCGACATTCTTTAATCCGAAGGGCATTACCTTGTAACATAAAGTTCCCCACATTGAGATGAATGTGGTCTTTTCCATGTCCTCAGAATGCATCTTAATCTAGTTATATCATGAGAATCCATCCATGAATGAGAATAAAGTGTTCCCGGCAGTATTATCTACCAAAGATTCTATGTACGGTAGAGGAAAGTTATCTTTGGGACTCGTCTTGTTAAGATCTCGGTAATCGACACACATGCATACTTTACTGTCTTTCTTTGGAACCAACATTATATTAGCCACCCATTTCGGATACTTGGCCACTTGGAGGAAGCCGACATCGAATTGTTTCTTGACCTCTTCCTTGATCTTAAGGAGCATTTCAGGTCTCATTCTCATTAGCTTTTGTTACACCGATTTGCATTCTGGTTTGATGGGCAGTTTGTGGACTACCATATCCATATCTTGTCCTGGCATGTCTTGATACGACCATGCAAACACATATTTGTATTCTTGAAGTAAGAATATTAAGTTTTTTTTGCTTCAGTTGAGAGAGATGTGCCAATTTTGACTTCCTTTCTTTCCTCTTCCGTACCTAGATTCAGGACTTCGATTTTCTCTTCATGCGGCAATTTTTGTTTTTCTTCTCTTTCTACCATCCTTAACAATTCGGAAGATAAACTACACTCGTCTTCATTGTCACATTCATCAACTTCCCCGAGACAATCACACTGTTAAAATCCACTTATGGGTCAGTATCATCAGTACCTGTATTATCATTATCTTGGGACCTGAAGGAGAAATGAAATGTTTATATGTGAGAGGAAAATATCCTACATGGAATGGTTGAAACTTAAATTCCAAAGAGGATAAAACGAAATAAAATTGAATTCAAAAGAAAAGTACTAAATGAAAAAAAAATTAAGTTCAAAAGAAATAAGGAACATATTTGTCGTGAAAGAAACTGCAACTTTTATTGATTTTAAAAATAATTATTCACCCTTACAAAAGATCACCTATTACCCCAGGTGTAAGCGAATAGGGATTGTTTAAGTATTACTCTAAAAGAAATTTAAAAACCACATGTAATTCTTTAGTCATCCAGTTGTTAAGCATCGATCCAGGTGGTAAAGGGCGGGTTCCTGACCTATTCGTATTTTCGGCATTCTCTGTGGTTATAGCGTTAATACTCCAATCTTTCAAAGCAACCTACAAATATGGAGAAGTCGACCCAAACTCATAACCACCAGATTTAAAGGTTTCATAAAGAGGTGGAAAAACCATGGGTTCCCATTGAAAATATTTCTCGTTTAATCTGGCCGACCTTCTATCTCGGCCTTTCTAGATTTCTTCATCTTCTGTTGTTGGCTGGGCTGAAAACCAAGCCCGAATTGGTCTAGCTTTGTTATAGGAATGATAGGGTTGATCATTCATTACAACAGACTCCCAAATCCTCTTCCCACCTTGGCATCTCTTCCCAAGATCTATTTGATCTCCATTTTAGTGCATTCGGAGAGTCGGGGTTTAGAAATATTTCCTCATTCAGCCACAAACATGGCATTCAAAAATTCTAAGGAGTGGAATGAACATTCTACCGCTTCATCATTTGCTTATATGTATGGGGCATTAGTGGTTATACTTGCCACAATATATTCTTCAACATTAACAATTACCAGAGCCCCATCGATGACAAACTTGACTTTCTCGTGCAGCGTAGACGGTACTTCTCTAGCTTGATGGATCCAAGGTATTCCCAAAAGGAAGTTGTAAGAAGGCATGATATCCATTACCAAGAATTCAACATTGTAAGTAGCAGGTCAGATGGTTAAAGGTACCTCAATCTTGTCGATTACCTCCCTCTTGGTCCTGTCAAATGTTCAGACCACGCTCTGGCATGTTCTCATATGGGAAACATCTATTGTCAGCCTTTTCAACGTAACTAAGGGCATCACATTTAGGGATGAACTATTTTCAATTAACACACTCAGTAAGGTGTGCCCCTTACAATGAGTGGTGATGTGTAAGGCCTTAGGTCGATCTCGTCCTCCAGACAGAATCTTATCATTAGAAAATGAAATAAGATTATCAGCTTGAATATTGTTAACCAGTCGATCCATCTTGCTGACTGGTATGTCTTGTGGCACAAAGGTCTGATTTAGGACATTCAAAAGTACTTCCATGTGTGCCTCTGAACTTAGCATCAGTTCTAACATTGAAACACGTGTCAGCAAGCTATGTAATTGGTCTATGATGTTGTACTCACTGTGCTTTAAATTTTTTAGGAATTATATAGCTTCTTTCTCCTTTATTGACTCATTTATTGTCAGCACATCCCACTTAAAAGGCTCAAGTGGTCTCTTGAGGGACTTAGCCTATTTGGAAGCAGTGTATCCCCACGGCGTGTTCCGCTTCATTGTCATCTTCTTTCAGGGTGCTTACTTGGCATTCATACTTCCAAGGCACTATACTGCTGTCCTTGTAGGAAAAAGGTCGAGGTGCTGTAATCACCACCTTTGCTTTTGTTTTCTTTGCTATCTTCGCTTTAGGGGTAATTACTAAAGGATGACCCCTGCCATATCTACTTTCGGATGATTCTCCAGTGGCACAAACATCCATTTCTGGAGGGTCTTGGATTTCATCATAGAATTCCAGCTCCTTTCTATCCATCATGAGATGGATCAAATCTTTAAACTCTGGGCAATCTTGCACTTCATTCCCTTCTTCATTATGGTAACAACAGTGGTTATCAACTCCACTCCTTGATGTATCAAAATGTGGTGCAAGAAACCCTGCTTTCGCCATTTGTCTCCATACCCAAGCCAAATGAGACGTTATTTCAGAAACACAAGTCTTAACTTTTATTTTTTTATCTGTAGTACTTGCATTAATCTCAGTCTCTTGATGATTAGGCAAATGATTTTGTGCAACGTTTGGTGCTCATGAGTCGAAGTGGATCCAATTCTTGTTACGCATTCTTTGTACGAGACTCTTAAATGCGAGGCAATTCTCAATTGTATGCCCTGGCAGTCTACCATGATATTCCCAGTGAGCGTTCACATCATACCATCTGGGGTATGGGGGCTTCATAGGTTCCACCAGGTATGGTGACACTACATGAGTGACAAAGAGTTGTTGATACATTTCCTTGTACGTCATGGGAATAGGATCAAAATACTCATTTTCTCTTTCTTTCCTAAGTTCCCTCAGATTTTGACTAGAAGTATCTAAGGTACAGCTGCAGTTGTTTTTGAGTTGAAGATTGTAACACCTTTGTTGGCATTGTAGGTGTTGATGTTATTAATTTCTCTCTCTTTCGTCTTCATAGGAGGTTTCTTACTTGATTCCCCTCTCTCAATCTTGCCTTGTTTTATGGCCATTTCCCCGACCATAACTAAGTCAGAGAAATTTCCTGATGTGATTGTAACCCGAAGTAAGGAGTCTTCAAGGTTTGCATGAAGAGTTTCCTAGTTTCCTTCTCATCCAAGGGTGGATGAACTTGCACAGATAAATCCCCCCATCTCTGTTCATATTGTCTGAAGCTCTCATTATGCTTTTTCTCCATGCTTTGTAGCATGACTCGATCTGGTCTAATATCGTTTATATGCTTGTATTGTTCCAAGAATGAATTGGCTAAATCTTTCGAGGTCCTGATATGAGATCGATTCAGCTGATTGTACCACCGGATGGCTGAACCACACAGACTCTCTTGGAAGCAATGAATTAGGAGCTGATCATTTTCTACATATCCTTTCATCTTTCAACAGAACATGATAATGTGAGCTGAAGAGCAACTGTTCCCATCAAATTTCTCAAACTCGTGAACTTTGAATTTTAATGGTAGCACCAAATCTGAGACTAAACTCAGTTCTAGAGCACCAACCCCATAATAATCATGGTCCCCCTTAACCACCTTCGTTTGGTCTTCCAGCAGTTTGATTTTTTCATCCATTTTCTTTGCCTTGTCTTCTTCATCAAAATCCGGTATATGGTAGTCATCCAAATTATTCTTAAGGTTGGATAATAAAGTTTGTATCTTTACAGTTGACGAGGTTTTCGTTTTTTCAGTGGACAAGTCCCCTTGTATTCCTGGTAAGATTCCAAGTGAAATAACTACCTACAGGGTAGGTGGCATAGCTACCCCTTCAGAAGACCCTGCCCTAGGCGTGTTTTCCTGACTCAAGCTAGATAGCCTTGCAAAAATTTAATCAACCAAATAATCTTGGCTTTTATTGATCGTTTCCAAAGTACTTTGGTTATTCTGGCTTATCTTTTCTTCTAAATCTCTCTACAGCTTCAACATGTTCTCTTCGAGTTGAGTAATTTTGGCTTCCATTTGCCTTTTCTTTATGCGGGTGTTGTAAGGATGATGTGTGTCCAAGGCTCGTGGAGGTATATCCGGTGTTTGTTCCCTAGACATTTTCTGTTAGTTAATGTGAATGTCAAAAATATGGAAAATAAAAATGAAATGCAAGATATGAAAATGATGCATGATGTATGAGAATTAGAGGCATTGATCCAGAAACTGTCTGTTATTATAAATAATCTTTATTGAGACAAAAATGTCTTATTTTTTTAAGAGACAAAAATATCTTAAAGGTACATTCTGACTAAATCCTCTAAACCCCAAACAGCTTCTAATAGGTTGACAAGTTTTCTTTCTTCATCTGTCACTGGTTGAATACCTTGTCGGACCATTCTGGCTTTTCTTGTTAAACCGTGCAAGTGATGAGATGCTTTTCGTACTTGTTCCAAGAAATATCAGATAACTGCATCTCTAGCTTTCACCCTTTGTTGGGCCTGTTCCCAACAAAAATACCACTAAAATCCTCCATCAAAAGGAACTATCTGAAGCTCACTTGCTTGTTTCTTGAACCCGTCCACAATGGCTTCCAACTCTGCTATGGTTTTGCCATCCCGCTCTTGTTGTTTCCGAAAAGACTTCTCTA